TCCGTCTCCCGTACTATCCCCCCCCCCCCCCCCCCCCCCCCTTTTTTATTTATTTTATTGGAATATGCCAAACCATGTGGCCAAGCCTCGCCGGAAGTACCGAACGCGCAGCGACGGACAATGTAAATGTTGTGGGAGATACTCCTTTCGTTGGATATATTATGCAGAGACACGTTAAACTGCGTTGCGTCCGAGGCGAGAAGTTAGCGTATCGGTCCGACCAGGCTGCGGAGCGCAGCGTGGCGCGCTGGGGCCTAAGTTTCGGTGGATGCAGGCGCCGGCTGACTTTGTCGTGCTGGCTGCCTGTCCCAACTAGAGAAGGCCAAGGAGATGAGCGAGATCCGACCCAGCGACGGAGTCGAGTTCTGGCACGGCCGGCTGACGTACTGGCTGCTGGATACGGTGCGCACTAGCCCGCTATGAGATGGCCGGCTTGCCCGGGAAGGACGAGCTGGACGGCAAGTTCGATAGCGTTGAGATTAATGGACAGCGGATCCTTTATGCGAATAACGAGGCGAACGAGTGACATTTTTTTTTTTACACTTTCTTTATCACCATATGTTAGAGCGGACATGGATAGGTGTCTTTTTAATTCCAAGCAAGAAAGGTTTATCTAAGATTAATCAACTAAGTCAGAGTACCCCCTGTCGGCCACCCCCCCAAACGGCCACCTAGATCCCCATACAAACAGGCAAAAACTCACTATTTTCACAACGCGTTTAAGAATCGAATAAAAATTATGTAAAAATGAGATAAGTATCATTTAATAGCCTGAAAGGCAGGCTTTTGCACAATATATGGTATGCGTATATTTTATAATTACATACGTTTAAATTTACATTATAAAACGGTAATATACTAAATGTTAATGTTCGCTAATAAAATGTATCCGTTTTATAACATTTATTATTTAAAACGTAATTTTTTTAATATATTAACTATCAAAATAAAATAACTTGCGTTTAAATCGGAAAAATCCCGGCTTTTACAACATAACATTATATATTATGTAATATAACTATTTAAGCTAATATGGACAACTTACACAGTGTATTATACAGTACAATGCATTTTTTATTATATAAAATTAAAATAAAATGTTATATGCTTAAGGGTATTTCATATATGTAAATTAGTATTATTTAAGTTAAGTTATTAATTAAAAAGTTATTTCAATTTTTCATTTATATGTAATTTATATGTAGAAGCTTATTTTGTAAATTTAACATTTTAGACGCTACATTTTATTATTAAATTATTTTATTTGTAAAATTTAGCTTTTAAATTATATAATTCAACTTACTCCGCCTTTCTACGATTTTTTCAAATTTTTTAATTGCGTTGTGAAAATAGGGAGTTTTTGCCTGTTTGTATGGGGATCTAGGTGGCCGTCTGGGGGGGTGGCCGACAGGGGGTACTCTGACTTACCGACTATTCGGACGATGGTAACGCCCGAACGAAATATGTCCTTGGTCTGCCAGTCGCCGACATTCTCCTGGGCTTTGACAGTAAACCCATCGCGGGTCAGTGGCCGAAGCATGGTTGGTCTCAGCAAAAGCATTTGGATATGAACCCCGTGCCATTATGGATTGGTGCTGGGCACGACCAGTTAGCGTGTAGCCACAAGGCCAAAATCGTGGCGCCATGAAGGAAAAAAAGCTCAGGTAATCTTGGAGCACGGCCATTTTTATCTGCATTTGAGGTCTGCTATTTCATGGCGCGACTCAAATTTCAACGATCCTCGTTTGGCCACTGCCGTCGCGCGGCCACAACTCGGCTGCCTGTTTCCTCTAGATGTCCCCAATCGGCTTGACGAGCCGCACGGCCTCAAGGCCCTGTGCGTGTCCGCCTCGCCCTCATCTGACCCGGCCAGGCGGATGATTGCACGCATTGACTACAATGTTGCGTAGCGTGTCGCGGCTGATTGCCAAGGTTCGCGCCGCCTTCGGCTACACATCGACGGTAGCCAGGATAAGAGCATCCTAGTCCACCCGTATTTCAGTGACACCCTCCTCGGCTTGGTGGAGAAGGACCCGGATTTCCAGGTCCCTCAGCGATGCAAAATCTTGCGAGCCACCGGTAGAGGCCCTCCTTGAGCTTTGTTGCAAACGATGGATGCATTTGGTAGGAATCCAGCCAGAATCCACTCGCCGCCGCCGCCGCCGCGCAGCAGCAGCAGCAGCAGCAGCAGCACGTGCACACATGCCTTACCGTGACCATGAGCGGACTGCCTGCCGCCGTGTGGCCCGGCATGGACCGGCTCCGCGCCGTGGCGGCCGAGGTCTTCGCGTCCGACATCAACCGGAAGCTGCTCCGGTTTCTGGACAGTTAGCCGGGCGGCATGGACCCGGACCCGGACACCGAGTTAACCCTAACCCGACCTGTTTTTGATAACGCAGTCGTCGCGCGGCGCCTCGTCCCAGCATTCCTCGACGCCTTCCTCGACCTCGGCCGCCAGGTTAACTTGGGCGCCGAATTAGTACGAGAATCGATAGCAGCCAGGGCAGGACCTGGTCGAAGAGACTCCAGAGGCGGCGCGGCGCCGCCGGCGGCACACCATGGTGAGCCCGAGGAGTCCGTTTGGCACCTTTGGGAGCGGCGACCCGACTGCGCGCGGGGACGTGCCCGTTTCCGAAGCCCCTCTGCCGCCGCGCACGCCGCCTATGCCTGCCGTGCCGGTGCCGACTCTGCCGGTCGTACCGATGCCAACTCTGCATGCCGTGCTAATGCCGGCCCTGCCTGTTGTGCAAACCCCGACCACCCCGACGCCTGCCGCCGCGCCCGGCGGCTTACTCGCCAATAAGACGCCGAGTCCGGGGTTTAGGCCGCTACGATCAAACCCTCCGTTTGCCCCGCCGCGCATACTGCCGGGAACAAGCAACGTTGTCGCCCGGTTTCCGGTCCCCTTTGTCCTCGGCCGCCCGCGGGTCGGCCTCCCATCGAGTGTTAGGCCACGGACGGCACCTGGGAATCCGTCTGCGCCGAAATCCGGCTGGGACCAGCAGCCTCCTGTTCCGGTTAAGGAGCCGATGCCCCAGCCGTAGCAAACATCCTCTGAGGAATCGGCATTTAGCGAATCGGGCGACTCCGTCCCGCATTTCGGGCCGTAGCATGTGGCACCTGGGGGGTTGGCGGGGGACTTTGCTGGATGGGGACAAAACCGGTAAGCAACCAACCAACCCACCCTTTATTTTTTCCTTTTTAATTCGTTTGTTCTTTTCGTTACGGTTTTAAATAACCGCCCCTAGTGCTTATAACTAACCAGCCCTATTTTACCCTTGCTGGAAAAAGAAAAAAAGAAAAAAAAAAAGCCAAAACATCCTTCCTCACGCCTCCCTCCCTCGCTTAACGGGCCGCGCGGCATTTTCTCCGGCCGGCCCGCGCCGCTGCCCGTCTTTGTCCTCGTTACCGTCGTCCCCCTTCCGCTTAACCGCCACCGCCGGGGCGGCCCCAGTCGCAAGACGACCTCCTCCACCGCCACCGCCATCACCTCGGCCGCCGTCCAGGGCCGCGCGGAGGGCCGCGCGGAGGGCCGCGCGGTGGGCGACGAGGGCGAGGCGCGGCTGCTCGACGGCCCGCAGGCCCGGCCTGCCGCCCCTGCTCGCGCATCTCGCCTGGACGCGGCCCGTGAGGGACGGGATCTTGTTGATGGTCTGCAGGCCCGCCAGTCTGTCCGCCAGTCTGTGCGCGGCGGCGGCGGCGGCGGAGGCGGAAGGGCCCGACCCCGCGCGCCGGCCGCCGCTAAGGTTGGTTTCGGCGCCGATAACGCGCGCCATGGCCTTGACGAGCGGCAGGTGCGGCAGGTGCCGCTCGACGAACCAGACGGCGTGGCCCGGCGTTAGCGCCGGCGCCTCCTCCTCCTTAGCGTACAGGCGGCTTAGGGCTTCGGCGCGCCGGGTGGCCGTCCGGAAGCCCTTAAGCGACGTCGGCTCCGGGCGGCAGGTCGAACTGTCGGCCCAGTCGACGGCGGGCAGCCGGAGCTGGCCGCCGGTGTAAGCATTCCAGTGCATGAATTCGTCGGGCGGCATCTCGCCGACCGCGATGCTGGTGGCGTCCCGCTCGGCCGCTGCGGGGGTGGTGGCGGCGGCGGCGAGCGCGGAGAGCTTATTTCCGAGCATGGCGAGCGAATCGTCCAGCGTGGGTATCTCCAGGAAGCCGGACCCGTCGTTAGGCGCCATGGTTGCTACCTCCACACCTTCGGTGCGGTTTATCGATGGACCTGCTTAACGTGGGCCTCTGCTGCCGGCACGACGTAAAAGAAAGTCTGGGTGCGGACTGGGGAAGATCTGGGTTTTGGGGGATCCGAAAGAACTAGCCGGCATAATGTGTAGAGGTTAGTTAATTTGACCGATTTCTCACCCCGCCGTCAACACACCACCGAAGATTTAAACTACCGGCCTGGACGCTCGATGCCGCCGCCGAGTAAAATCGCGTCTGGGGCCTCACGGAGAGGTCGCAGCAACAGCAGCGCTGCTGGCAAGAAGCGATCATCCAGCCAAATTGGCGCTCCACTGCCCCCCACCAAGCGATCCTGCTCCACATCTCCAACGGAGGCCGGCAATGACGCACTATCGAATCGGGTGCATCGACGTGTCGTTCTCCGTGACTATGGAAAGCCCATCTACAAAGCAAGCTCTCGATCGGCCCTCCTTGCAGCTTTCGAGGGCAGCATTGAAGGACACGAATCCTTGCGCAAGGCTGGCTTCCTGCATAGGGACATTTCGATTAACAATCTTATGATTAACGAGGACGATGGCAATCACTCCTGGCCTTCGTTTTTGATCGACCTGGACCTTGCCATTAAAGTGCAACGAGAAGCCGCCTTAGGAGCAAGGGGAAAGACCGGGACGAGGGCCTTTATGGCCATCGGTGCGCTTCTGGGCGAGCAGCATTCTTTCATGCACGATTTCGAGTCGTTCTTTTGGGTGCTGTTTTGGATATGCATTCACTACAAAGGGCCAGATGAGGGCAGAGCCGTTCCGCGGTTTGAGGAGTGGAATTACGTTGACACAGAGGAGCTAGCAGAGCTAAAGAAAGGGCAAGTATCCCATGAAGGCGACTTCATCAGAACCGCAGAAGAGAATTTCACACCATACTACCAGCCATTGATACCTTGGGTTAACAGACTACGGAAAGCGGTATTTCCGAATGGTGGGAGATGGGAAAAAGATGAAACAGAATTGTATGTTCGGATGAAGGAAATTATTGGGGAAGCCCGCAAGGATCCAAAGGTGTCGGCGGAGTGATAGCCTCGCGGATTAGTGTAATCGGAAGAGAATTTAGTGCTGCCAACTTATCCTGCGGCATGACCCACCGAGGTATTCGGGGACGGAAACTTCCCGTCTATTTTGGTTTATACCAAAGCCCAATTTCCAGCTTTCACGCGAGCACCTTTACCTCCTTCGCAACAGGCACACCGCCCTTTAGCTGCGCGCTGGAGTGAGGTGCCTCGGCGCCGCCAATCGGCGGGACACAGTGCTGTACCCCTTATAGGGGAAGCGCTCGAGCGGGGACAGGTAGTGCTTCAGCCGTCGCCCGGCTGCATTCGGATACTGCCGGTTGAGCGGGACTGTGTTCAGGGGCTCGACGGGAATGCTGCCCGACATCTATTATGGGGTAGTCCTCGGCGGTGAAAGGGTTCCTGACGGCGAGTGTCCTCAGAGGGGCCAGTGGTGCGATCTGTCGTCTGGGTCCAAGTCGCACCTTTGCAGCAGCTGCTGCCGAGATCGTGACGGTGCCATCCGATACTTCCACTTCGTCGACAGCGATTCCGAGGCTGACGATGAGTCCTCTATCCCCTCGAAGTCGGAATCGGGCTTCGAGTCCATCAGCGAGCAAGTCAACGCTGTCACCGAGACATAAATGTCACGGGGATCTGCATTGACGACGGCAAGCCTCTTTTGTGGCCACGCACCGGGTCCGTTGGGCACGTGACCCCGGCCCTCGTGACCCGGCCTCCGTAGTGCCCGGTCCTCCTCTAAAGTCGGCACGGGCCCCTGCAGGCCGGTTTTTGTAGGCTCCCTTACACTACCCCCCCTCAAGGCGTTGCGTTCCGGCAACGCTAGATAGGCCGGGGCGCGAACGTTCCTACCACATGCTCGTGTTCATCATTACCCCCGGCTCCGTGGTGTAGCCCTCCTGGTTAGCACTATTGCACTCAAGTTGCTAAGACGCACGGCGACAGTGAACGGCTGCCGGAACGTCACTCCAAATGCCCCATGTGACAACAAGCCGCCCTGGTTATTGATCGTTACCGATAGTATGTGGCTCGCCCACTTCGGCGCCGTTAGTACTCGACCAGCCGAATTGCCGCCACTGCCCGGAGCAGCGGAACTGCCCGCACTCATCTGCGCAAGGCCATCCTCCATGTCCCCAGAAACCGACGCCGTCTGTGGCAGCCATGACAATGAGAGTGGTATTAAATTGCTGCTGGCGATGCTGACGCCGTTGATACTGCCGTTGCTCGTACAGCAGGCCGTTTCGAGCTCGGTCTCGCCTTCAGGAGCGAACCACAGAGACCAACCGGAGTGGTTCGTGCGGCGCCGCCCGCCTAAGCCCACCCTTTCGGGCCCCGCCTGTGCCTGCTGTTGTAGTTCAGATAACGTTTGAGTAGGACGCTGTGGAGCCGGTAGAGGATGCGGCCAGGGTGTGACCGGGGAAGCACATGTGGTGCACTAATTGGTGGAAAATGCTGTGTCCCGGCTTGTTGTGTTGGTTCGCTTTGTTATTGGTGTGGCCGAAGGCGCGGATTGCGGCCGGGGAGGCGGAGAGGCAGACGACGGCGAGCCGACGGATAGGTTGACTACCAGTAGACTTTAGAAATGCCAATGCCTAAGCAGATGTCGGATTCCAATATAGCCTAGGCAAGTCGCAAAGTGCAGATGCGTGTCGCCTTCAATGCGTCAGGCGTGAGGCGTACATCCGGCTCGGGCAGTGTAGCTATGACTTGTTTCAATCAACTTTCACGAACGAGGCACCTTCCCTTGAAAAAATCCTCCTGTCGGACCCGCTGTTAGGGTGCCGCTAAGGTACACGGCCATTTTTGGTACTGGTCCCACCAAAATGAGCCGGAATCGTTATGTGGGCGCTAACAAGCCACTTGGCTTTGTTTTGCCCGCGTTCGCCGGCGTCCTTTCAACAACGACGACGACGACGAAACTGGGCTAGAGGTGCAGAAAGGGCTCGCAAAGGTTTCGGGGTGCCTATTGCCAGCTGGGAAGGTCCTGCACCCCTCGCAGCCCAGGGCGCGCCTTGCGCGCGCCGAAATCTTCGACAATCGGATTGCTCCAACCTCCGCGCATCACCAGACCGCCCTTCGACTTCCCTATCGCTTTCGCCGCACCGGACGAGCCGAAACGATTTCGAACGCACAAGAAGACTGCTGGCCGGCAAGCAGTTAGCGACTTTGGACGAAAAGCCGGCCCGGCCGCCGCCGTCCCCCGCCAACCACGGCCGCCGTTTCCCCAGTTCACTTCCCCCAGCACCACCACATTTTCCCTAGCACCAGCACCACGGCACCGGCCGCCGCCCTCCCTTTCACCACATTCGCAACTCCGCGATCGACCGCATCCAACGATACGCACGGCGCAAGATTGGCGTGTTTAGGCATTTGTTTAAGCACGCACGCGCGAGATTTGCTTTGACGGCACGCGCCTCTGTTTGTTGCCACGCCGGGCTATACGTATGTATAGGTGGCATCGCACGCGCAAGGTCTTCGCGCGGCTCTGTTTCGCCAGCGTGACCGTAACGGCCTACGAGACCTGCACCACGTTGGCAAACCGCGCAGCCTGTCGTTCGATACGCGACACAAGGAGCACACCGGGTTGGAACTAGGCCCTCCAGCCCCCGAGTTTTCTTTCTTTGGCTGGGCCCAAATGGAGGGCCATTGCGGTCCTCCGCCCGGTCCTCACTTTACTCCAGCACATTGCCGGCCGACTGCTTTCTCTACCACCAACAGCTGCGCTCACAGCGCCCCGGCGTTTACTCGCCCCATTTGCCGATTGCCCGCTCACCAACAAGGAGCGTCGGAATGCGGCCCGATCTCCGTGCCTTCGGGCTTAATTTGTTAGCCGCCTCGATAGCAACATGTAGCCTAGTGTCAAGCTTAGGTAGCGCTAGCACGTCATATGCCCCCTGGGAGGCAGGGACTGGTAGATCCCGACTTACTGACGTTAAATATACTCACTCACTCACTCACTCACTCACTCCCCTTGACAGATAAACCCTTCCCCCTCATGCACAATTAGAGGTTATACCCAGATCACAATGATCGTTGTTAATCACCTTTAAAGATCTCCACGCCGACCATTTAACAACAGGAGTACCTACTCCTACCAACAGTTACAAAATTAAAAAAAAAATGCACCGTGTTTTTCACAGTGTTTAAAACCAACCCTAAAGCACTAACAATGAAAATTCGGAAAAATATTTTACGTAAAAAATACGCTTAGTAATGTCACGATCAGGGAGAGTAGGCTTCGCAGCCGGGCTTAATTGATGCTATGGACGAAAAACTCTTTTGAGGAAGAAACAGGAAAGAAAGGCGCGATGCGGTAGAAAAAGCGGTGCGGCGTCTTATCGCACGGGCTATTCCGCGGCGCGCGCTCACGTGGATGCCTGCGGCGTGCGGTGAGCTGCCCTGGGCCGTTACAAAGCGTAGCCTTAAGCTCCGCCCAGGGGCGTCGTCACACAACTCACCGCCTTTTACAATCAGCTCACCGCCTTTTACAATTAACTCACCGCCTTTTACAATTAGCTCACCGCCTTTTACAATCAGCTTACCGCCTTTTACAATTAACTTACTGCCTTTTATAATCATTTCACTGCTTTTCATAATCATCTCACCGCCTTTCATAATCATTTCACCGTCGAACAGAGCCAGATGGCCTGTTAGACCCTGTTGTGCAGCCGGCTCATTTTTGGTGGCCCCAACACCAAAATGGCCGGGTTTCCTTAGCGGCCACTAACAGCGGGTCCGACAGGAAATTTTTTCGGGGGGAAGTAGTGGAGTAAAGGCGGTGAAGTAAAAGCAGTGGAGTAAAGGTGGTGAAGTAAAAGCAGTGGAGTAAAGGCGGTAAAGAAGAGAACGTGTTGTGTATGTAAGCCTGGTAGTCGATGTGGTGGCGTGGCGCCTGGGAGTCGCTGAGCCACGGTGGCTGAGGCTCCATGCTTGGGGCCCGTGCCTGGGAGGCTCGTGCGTGGCCGCTTGCATGAAAAAAACCCTGCACGAGGGCTCCGGTGCAACGCACCGATCCCCTCCTTCTACTTGTCACTTCTAGATAGTCAAATCAACCTTCGCTTTATCGCAGCCTTGTCTCCTTTGTGAGGGTGATCCCTAACAGTCGACCTATAACCTATCAGTTATTAAGGCCTTGTACCAGCCCCAAGACACTTGCGTTGTGCCCATCTCCAGACCTCGCCTCGCAGCATCCCTTTTAATTTTAGCCATTTGGAGGGCTTTTTTTTTACCAATCCTGGTCCGTTCGGGGCTAGGATTGGATGCTAAAATTGCCCTAGATTCCCTTTTTATAATGAAGTTATGCAGACCTGTAACAGCTAATACCACATCGACTTGTGCGCGGAGACGGAAGCTAGAAGGGGTGCCTCTTTGTTCCAAACAGGCCTCTGCTCCTAAGGTAGGGCACCTAGGGAGATGGTAGTAGTAGCGTCTTTGTTAGGGAAACAGGGGAAACACTAGATATTTTAGGTGCAGGTCTGAATGTGTAAGGGACTTGGAGGGCTCATGCAGGGCCGCCAGGGCTGCAACCGGAAAGGGGGCAGCAAAGGCCTGGGTGCCTGGATGCCTGAGGCACCCAAGGTCACGGGACACTGGCCCGCCGCGGCCGACCCCTTAGGCAGGTTGATCGTGGCAATTCCAGATTGCCAACGATCAAGCTGAAGTTGTTATATTTACCCTATAGCAATATAAACCCCAACCCCTTTCGACTTACCCGCTACTATCGTGATCACCTCGGTTCCAGCCCTCGGCTTAACCCCGTGACATCCTAACGCCAGCGCCTGATACGGAGGGCGCCTAACGATACATGGTAACGAAGGTAGGGTTGGTAGGTTGAAAAAAGGGTGGGTTGATCTCTGTAATACTGTTTCTGTACTTGAATCCGAACTGCCAGAGGCTTCCTTTATATACTACGAGAATCTCTGGCTTCTGGGCTCTCGAACGAGCCTGTCACGGCCGGATAATCCTAGACATGCGCGAGGGCAATGATCTATTGGCACCTGCAGACGAAGATTCCATGGTGAGGAGGGAAGGAAGTATTGTACATGACGGAGGGGAACATGGTGGGGTTTTGTGGTTGAGCTCCTCTCACGTGACCTATCTCCCTGCCTTGGTGCCTGAACCGTCACAGAGCCTACCGCCGGCCCGAGGGACCCTCTGGATCCGCCAGATAGTGAGGCTATTTAGGCCTGCTTTAACCCTGGATCACGCCGTTGCACGGGTCGTTTAATTTTTTGGGAATTTCTATTTTAAGCCTCTGTGCCCATTGCTTTTTATAGATAGGCGTTCCCTGTTTGCCCCGGATGGGGATCCACTGAAAATTAGGCCAAAATATACGTGAATGGCCACAGGGCTCTCCCGGCCGTTGTATCCACGTCGAGAATTAAGCTTAAATAAGGTCAAAAAACCGGCTAAGGGGTCAAAAAAAAAACCAAAACCCTTTAGTATCGAACGGCCCCTAAACTTCAGCTGGAACTTTACTACGCCTTCGACCGTCACGGACTTAAGGACCGCGTTTTCAAGTAGCCATTCCTTGAAAGTTGTGACGTGGACCTCCACGGTTCCTTCTTTGCGGACATAATTAAACTGCAAAGCGCGCATCGGCCTCGGTGTTTTTATGAGAATGTGCAGGTCGTCTCTGCGTTCGACACTTTAACGGAGCCGTCGGCTGAAAGCGCTAGTCCTTTATGAAAGGCTTGCTTACACATTCTAACAAACCGCTTCTGTACGGCCAAGACCTCATGCATAACTGCATACAAAAATCTTTCAAAATACAGCCCAGGCTTCCCGTCTCCGTCCCCGCGCTCTCCGCCCGGTTTATCTCCTAGCTTTCGCCAACGAGTCTTGGAGGGGACCGAACGAGATCACTCCCCTCCCTCTCCAAAAAAAAAGAAAGAAAAAACAAACCTCGCTTTCAGGGCTCCTTTGCCCTGGTGGCGCCAGCTACCGGCTTGTTGTCTTCGGGATGATGCTCAACGTTTACACCGTCTTCGTGGGCCCTAAGCCACTGCTCAAGCCGGACAGGGGGTCCTGGCATCTCCGGGTAATCCTGGTGGTACTGTTTAAGAAGGTGAGGGCATCCCTTAAATCCCTCGGCGTAGTACCACGTTTGGTCGGTTTCCCAGTCGACCCATTTGGCCTGATATTGAAGCTTCTTATAGTGGGTGCGTGAAGCCAGTATCTCCTCAACCTCCCATTCGTTCTCATTTGGGGGCGTGGGAGCACCCGCTGTTGATGCGGGGCTTTGACCTGCCAGGCGGTGTCTTTTAGCCGGCAGCCTTCGTTGTTGGTGACGAGGTGAAGCGCTATTGCATTCGTGATCCGGGCAACGGCCTCGGCTAAACTCGAGCTGATACTTCGTTTCGCCGTTGACCGTCGCAGATTTGAGGACCACATCTTCGAGTGGCCATTGCTTAAACTCTGCGAACTGGGTTTCGGTCGTTTCGGTCTCTATTTCCTTGCCAGGACCTTGTGAAAACGGCGGGCTGGGAATATCGTGCCGAAGTGGGCTCCGTTTTTGGATTTGTCTTCGCCTGCTGTCGCCGCGGTGGGAACCCGTTTGGCGTTTGGCGGCTGTTCTGCGTGGCGTCGAAGCGGGAGAGCTTCTTCTGCGGCGTTTGCGTGGTGACAGCTGGTCGCTGTCGCTATTCCGAGGGTGGTAAGTGCCGTCGTCCCCATGGTCGCGCCGGCGACTGCCAGGATTGGATTGAAGGTTGCCCCGAGTGTCAAATGGCTGGCCATCGCCGCTTTCGTCGTCGGAATTAACACTGGAAATGCCGGATGCATAGTGGTCCCCGTCACGAACATCCGCCTTCCTCGGTCTTAAATTCCGCTTCGCTATAAGCGTTCCGGCTTTGTCATTGATATCATTGTCGCTAGCCTTTTGGCAATCACCAACCGGGCGGCGACAAGGCATGCCCTCTCGATCCGAATGGTCTTCCAGGCCCGGTGAGCAGTGCCTGGAGAGATGGCCTGAACTAGGCGTCCCCGCTCCTCTAGCTGGCGACGCGCCGGAGAACCTAGCCCCCTCGTCGCAGGTGGCTGCCTCAGGCGTGGACCACACGCTGCTCGAGCGTGGAGCGTGGTCACTGCCGACAGGACTCGGCGGGTCCTGGACCAGATGGGAGGGCCCAGCCGACGTAAGGCGTCGTTCTAGCAGCGCCGGCAGAGAGGGAGGCTTTAGAAAATTCATACCGAAAGCGTCATGTCTTGGCTCGGTGCAGGGTGGAGCGGTATGCTCACCGGCATGGGTTGCTAAATGCTCGGCTGAGGCAGGAAAAGGGCTTGGCAAAGTCGGGGGGCCTGGCGGAGCCCCGTCATTTAGCTCCAGGACGCTGTAAGCCTCCGGCAGCTCGTCTGGTGTTTGGACCAGCACATCCCTTATGGGCCCCGGCGGAAGGGTAGGGCCAATCAAAGCTTCCGACGACTTGCAGGCGTCCGGCCGCAGACCATCCCCCCCAGCCGCCGAATTTCCGGCCCCATTGTCTTGGCCTAGCCCGTGAATAACGGACGCTCCTACGGCGTTGTCACCGGCGCCGGACGACGTATTGGAATCCTTGCCTGCCCGGGGGTGTCAACGCAACGACTCGCACAAGGATGGATAGAGAATCATGCACATACCTGCACCGGCAACGCTGCCGCGATCGCGTCCGATAAGTTCCTCGATTGGCGGGAAAAAATCGTCTTCGTCATCGGACTCGCTATCGCTGGGAATCTCGATTGCATCTGCCCTGAAGCTTGGGCCAACGCCGCGTGAGGTATTGTGTGTAGATTGCTGTGATGATTTTGAACTTCCGGCGGTTGGTACAGAGAGATGCCCATATTGAGCTCGGCCATTGGGCTTTCGATTAGCCGCAATTTCAGTATATGAGTAAAAAAGCTGACGATCCATCGTGCAGTGGATGCTGAAAAGGAGTTTGAGTTTAGTAAACGCGAAAGGCTTCGGGAAGACGACGGAGGTGTGATTGCACTGTAGGCTGACGGTTTCAAACTTAGGAACACCGGGGGAACGAGGGATACATATATGCATGTGCGAGAAGCGTGAGGTCGGTCACGGCACCGGCAAACAAAGTACAGGCAACAGCTCGTGCTGGCCATCCACAGCCACCTATCCACCAGTCCCGTCGACTTCGATTCAACAGTTCCTCGTATCTCTGCCAATAATGCAACTGCCGACACGGGAGCGAGACAGCCGGAGAAGGTGACCCCGCAGGATGTCGTCGTCGCTGCCAATCAAGTCCCTAACCTGACCACACGAGGTCGCCCACGGCGTCTCCGGAGACTGCCCAGGATGACCTGACGATGTGACACAGGCTCGCCATCTCCTTTTCCTGCGCCTTGCTCCGCCTCCTAAACGGGCTTGCCCCATCTTCCCTTTTTATGCCGCTCGACGCGCGCCAATAGCAGTGCGGGACCTGACCGGCGCGGGGAGGGGTTCACGAGCGCCGTCGCTTCATCCCACCGGCTCCTTTCCAGGACTCGTGTCTGCCTTGCCATCGCCCAAATTGCGCCAGGGTGCGGACCGCCGTC